TAGACGCTCTGGGCTCCCCTCGGTGACCCAGTCTTTCTTGGCTTTTTACCTTGCGCAGTAAGGACCAACTTTACCTTACGTAGAGGTACATATCACGCACCGAGACCCAGACAGTCGGCTGCATCATCCAACCATTCTCTCCAATTCTTCTTTTCTTTAAAAAACCACCAACCTTTTTTTTTTTTCTTTTGCAGTTCACTACCTACACGCACGTCGATTGACTGCGCAAGCAAAGCAACATTCAAGGATTCAGACATAAAGTCACCCAAAGTGACACACGAAAGACACAACATCAGCGAAGACAAGTGACAGTTTCGCTGCGATATCCACACTACTTTTACCCCTCCGTTTAATTGACTGGTCGACTTTTACACAACAATCACACGACAGTCTTGAACAATGGTGAAAGAAACTAAGCTGTACGATCAGCTGGGCGTCAAGCCCACGGCGACGCAAGATGAAATCAAGAAGGGTTATCGGTAAGTCACAATAGCCTTCCCTGAAACTTGTTTTTTGTCCTTTCGCCCTTTCTGCCCCTCACTTCTCTCTTACCCGTCGTTGCCCAACGGCGTGGCCCAATCGCCCTCTTTGCCTCCACACACGGCCATATCAGACCGTAGTATGCTAACCATCTCACGTACATAGGAAATCCGCACTAAAGTGGCACCCCGACAAGAACAAGGATAACCCAGACGCCGCCGAGAAGTTCAAAGAGTGCTCCCAGGCCTACGAGATCCTTTCCGATCCCGAGAAGCGCAAGACGTACGATGACTACGGTCTCGAGTTCCTGCTCCGCGGAGGCGGCGCCCCTCCTCCAGATGCCGGTGGCGCCAACCCCTTCGCTGGGGGCGGCATGCCCGGTGGCTTCGACTTTGGAGGAGGAGGCATGCCGGGCGGCGGCGGCGCACGCACGTTCCGCTTCAGCACAGGAGGGGGCGGCAACGGGTTCAACTTCAGCTCGGCGGATGACGTTTTTGCCGAGTTCATGCGCTCTGGTGCTGGCGGTATGGGCGGTGGCGGCGGCGGCGGCGCGGGCGGCATGGACGACTTTTCCGACATCTTCTCGACGTTTGGCGGTGCCGGCGGCCCGCGGGGTAGCAGATCATCGCGCATGCGCAGCAGCGGGTTCGGCGACTCGCGGGGGGCGAGGGAGGCGACGCCCGAGGTCACCACGGTGGAGCGGCCTCTCCCACTCACATTGGAGGAGCTGTTCCGTGGCGTGACGAAGAAGATGAAGATTAAGCGCAAGACCTTTGACGACACGGGCAAGAGGACGACGACTGATACGGTTCTCGAGGTGCCCATCAAGCCGGGTCTGAAGAAGGGAAGCAAGATCAAGTTCAAGGGCGTAGGCGACCAGGAAGAAGGCGGCCAGCAGGACCTACACTTTATTCTGGAAGAGGTACGTTAACAACCACATTCCCGATGCGAAAACCAGAGATATGGCAGTACTAACGAATATTACAGAAAGCTCACCCGCTATTCGTGCGCGAAGATAACGACCTGGTTCACACTGTCGAGTTGGATCTAAAGGAGGCCCTCACGGGCTGGAAGCGGACGGTGACGACGATCGACGGCAAGCAGCTGAACCTCGATAAGAACGGCCCCACACAGCCCGGCAGCTCCGATCGGTACCCTGGCCTGGGCATGCCCATTTCCAAGAAGCCTGGAACGAGGGGCGACTTTGTCATCAAGTACAATGTCAAGTTCCCCACGAGCTTAACACCGGCGCAGAAGCAGCAGTTGAAGGAGATTCTGTAAAGGGAACTCAGGAGTGAGGGATGGAGGGGCTTGCGGAGACGTTGCTAAGGCGACGCGAGTTTGCGCCGGGGGTGTTTGCACCGTAAACAAGATGATCCTTTGGTTTGGCTGGCCGGTATGCTCATCATGAATAGGAGTTTGGGGCGTGGTTGGGTTTTCTGCTTTTACAAGGCCAAGGGTTGGCCTTTTCCTTTTTGCCCCTCTACGAGCATTGCGCATTTCATGAGCAGGCAACAGGAGCTGAGTTGCTGGTGGAGAGGTGATGCCTGCGCAGAGGTACTTAGATATGAAATAATTCAAGCTTAAGACTATAGTGACACGTACTCAAGTGTCGTTGTGATATTTGTGACTACAGCCTGACTGCTGGCACCAGGAAGTGACTTTTCGTTTAGTTGATGAGCTGTGACGACCGCCACAATCGTAATGGGGAAGAGCTGTCGTGGTAGAGGGGGTGAACGGCGGACACGATGGCGCGAGAAGCCAACGTTCAGAATTTAATATTGAGCTCTGAACATTGATCCTATTCAACATCTTGCAATAGATACCACCATGTTCTCTTCAGATGGTCGGCATATTGTGACCAGGCTCCAATGACGACATTACCACGACTAGACGGCTCACTCGCGCATCTCGGGACCGAGAGGTGTCCAGCCCTCCCGTCGTCCCGATTTTGTTGTGCTGGAATTTCCCATGTGCATCCCGGCGCAGGCCGAGCGAGCTGTATCCTTGCGGCTAGTGGAGTTTGCCTCGGGAGCTACCGTCCACTTAGTTACACATCTAATAGATCTTGTGTAGGGTAAGGTAAGCATACGAAAAATTGGACACAGCAGGTGAGGTTGTTTTGTATATTTCCCGTTCCTGGAGTGCGGTTATATTGGACCGATCCCCTCTTCTATAGTATGTGTTCAAAAGTAAGTGGTATTCTAAGCCTGTAATTCGGAAGCTATCTCAATCTTATCACGATATTCAGAACGGAGAAAGAAAGGACCTCGGTGGCAAGCCTACTGAGTACGAATGCGCCTCGTCTCCCGTCGATAGTGGACAATCACTCGACGTTGATCTGTATGCTATACTGATACACTTATCTACGCGGCTATGCCAGACGGAATATTTCGCGCAAGGTTAGGTTGTAATGAAGATTCTCATAGGCCCGTCTCCCCGAGTTCCCCGACCCTACGCTCGGCAGAACTCTGTTTCGCAAGCTGGGCGCGGCGGGCTCGGGAGGTCGGGATGATGGAGGGCGGATGGTTTGTGCGGGGGGTTTGGAACGATGGGCTGATCGCGATGAAGTCTCGGCTTCCGCTACTCCAACTACAACTATTGGTGTTCAAAGAATGCAGGATTCCTCTCATATCAAAGCAAGTAAATGGCGCATCAAGCGAGATTCGGCGGTTGCGGTTCCGGAGTTTCGCCGCGGTGTTCTTCATGAGCTTTATGTACATTGGCCATGTGGTGGTGCATGTATGTATGTATGTGTATGTAAGTACTCGACCCCGCGGTGATGACGACACTTCACATGCGGGAAACGGGTGGACGACGGGATGGGGACGCCCGTGGGTTTTGGAGGGGGAGGGGTAAAAGCGTTGGTGGGGCCCCTCGTTCTAGGTAGCCAGCCTAGGTAGGCCCAGAGAGCCATCGATGCAAGTGCTGCCGGGTATTGTGAGGCCATTTTCCCGCCAGAGCTGGTTGAGGTCCGACTTACCTAACTTACTTACCGTACTTTGCGTGTTATTTTCCGCGGCTCTCATTGGACTCGTTGGGACGACGAAAATGAAAAGCCGGCTTGGAGCAAGAGGGGAGGGGGGTTAAGGAAGCGGGCGCGGGAGAAAGACGGGAGGAAAAGAGAGACCTTTGTGGTTTCCTGGGAGATGCGTGAGATACCTTAATAGAAGTCCTATTCTACCCTGATTCACTACGTAGTTCATTTCTTCGCCCTCTCCTCCTCCATTCCGAGGCTCCCAGTTCTTCAAGTCCCCAGCTGCAACTAAGGTTTCTTTCTCAATTGGTCTCGGATAATAAGCTTCGTCTACCTTATAGATAGCTTGCTTACTCCCCCTCCTCCCCTCCAGACTCAGCTCTCAGCTCCCAGCTTCATTGAACCCCGCTCTTCACGAGGCAAGCTCTCCACCTCAAACCCGGAATAGCATCCGACGAGTCTTTTGTAAATAACCGCCAACATGCCTCAAGTACGTCACGATGAGAACCCAAGTCGACCGAGTACGACCCAGCTCGAACTGACATGATCTAACCACCACCACGCAGATCACAACCCTCCTCTTCGACTGCGACAACACCCTCGTCCTCTCCGAGGAACTCGCCTTCGAGGCCTGCGCCGACCTCATCAACGAGATCTGCGCCTCCCGCAACATCGAGCAGCGCTTCACGGGCGAATCCCTCATCAAGGAGTTCGTCGGCCAAAACTTCCGCGGCATGCTCCTCGGCCTCGCCAAGTCCCACAACTTTGAGCTCCAACCCGACGAGCTCGAAAAGTACGTCACCCGCGAAGAGGACGCCGTCATCGCCAAGCTCAAAGCCGCACTCAAACCCTGCCCGGGCGTCGACGACCAGCTCGAGGCGCTGCAAAAGGCCGGCAAGCATACCCTGTCCGTCGTCTCCTCGTCCGCCAAGCGCCGCGTCTGGGCGTCCGTCGTGAAAGTCGGGCAGGACAAGTACTTCCCCGAGGACGTCGTCTTCAGCGCCGCCACGTCGCTTCCCAAGCCCACCAGCAAGCCCGACCCGGCCATCTACCTGCACGCCATGAAGACGCTCGGCAAGAAGCCCGAAGAGTGCGTCGCCATCGAGGACTCCAAGAGCGGCACGCTCAGCGGCACGCGCGCGGGGATCAAGGTGATTGGGTACGTCGGCCCCTACGCCGCCGACAAGCAGGCGGAGATGGAGAAGGTGCTGCGCGATGCCGGGGCCGTGGTCGTCATGAAGGACTGGAGCGAGTTCCCCGACATGCTGGCCAAGATTGAGAGCGGGAGCGCCTGACTAGCCGGGGTTTCTATCCCGTCGCCTTCTCTGTGAGGTTGAGGCTGCGGGCGATGTAGAGGGATCATGATGGCTTCCCTCTCCCTACCAAACCCCTTATATTTTCTTCCCATTTCTGTTTAAGTGTTCATATCGTTAGCCAGGACCGACAGCGTTCCAATTATTGGAAGCGCTTTGTCAAACTAGCCCGCTCAGGAGAGAGATGGAATCCAGGTAGACAGACTCAAGACTAGTAAAAAGAGACCTTTTCATCTTCGGTGGTCCATGAGAAAGCTGTTGACACTCTGCAATGTAGCCCGGTTCGCATTGGCCTCTGGATATGCCGTCATGATTGTCCCCAGCTTTACCCGGATCATGTCCTTGTTGAAAAACGTCGTCGAGTCCGCCACGCGAAACTTGCCGTCCCGGTCGAAGCACCAGCAGTAAATGGCCAGCGCGACGCCAATAGATAGATCCTTGCCCGTCTCGCAGGCCACGAGGACGCTGCCACTGCTGCTGCTGTCGCCCTCGGCAGCGCCCTCTACTACATCACTATGCGAGTCGAGGTACCCCGCGGTAAAGGCGCAGATATCCGGCAGCGCCTGCCGGAGGTTGCGACTCGCGACCTTGTGCTTCCCGAGGCCGACTTGCATGTACGTCGGAGATTTCACCCACGCGTCCCGCGGCGTGACGTCCTGTGTTAGCACGACTCTGCACGCACCCGCGGACACAGCATCCGTACCACCACTGCTGTCTTCCTCATCGTCCAGGGGTAAAGGACAGACGTAGATCCACGGCGCAACTCGCTTCGGCTGCACCCCTCTCGGCGCATTCCTCTTGTCCTCCGCGACGAGACGAACAACCAGTTCCGGGAGATCGGCCTCGGGACACGAGAGCAGCGCCGCGGCGTTCTCCCAAAAGACTTCGGCTGTCAGACCGAGGGCCCAGTTCTCCGTGTCGTCGCCGGCGCCTTGGATGTACCCGGCCTCGCTCATTTCCGTACCGGCGACACGGCGCGAGGAGGTGCAGCAGATGATGGGGTGGTAATCTTCGAAAACCACGTTCTTCGCAGACTCGTCATCATCGCCCGCAGACGCGGATAGCGACGGAAGCTGCGTCTCTTGCGTGACCCAAAATGGCCGCAGGGGCTTGGAGACGTGCGCACGGAGAGCTGCGAGATCGAGGTCGAGGCTCTTGAGGGAAGCGAGGAAGGACGGGAGGAGGGCAGCGATTTGGGCGTGTTCCGAGGCCGAGACGACGTTGGGCGGGGTGAAGAGGCGGAGCTCGCGCGCCGGGTCGAGGTCTGGGAAGAGGGCTGCGTTAAGGACGGCGCACCAGATTGGAATGGTTTTGCTTAGGGCGTCTGGCATTCCTGGGAGTCGTGTTAGTCTTGAGCTTCGTGGATGTGCTGATGTATGAGTCTGATGATGTGGACTTACTCTTGCCTCTGCGGGTTGAATCTACAATGATGCATCTAGATTCTCAGTCAGCTCTGCTCTTATTAGAAGCAGTTTATATCCAAAGCCTCTTCCTCTTATGAACGCACTCATGCCACCATCATCGAAGTTCAAAAACACCACCATAAAACTCACCCATCATGCTTCCCAACAAGCTCAAGCAAATGCAAATTCAACCTGCGCGTACTAAACTTCCAGGCATTCGTATGCCCATCCGTACTCTTAAAGTACGCGCTTGCCCGCTTGTCCGCAGGTCGAATATACCAGCTCCCGCAGCGCTCGTTCGCCACAAGCGGACGACCGAAACTGGCCGCGACATCCTGCACAAAGTCGGCGTCCTGCGTGATAGAGCGAAGTCGGTTCGCGATGGAGAGGTTAGAGCGCTTGAGATCCGTGAGGATGTGGGAAAAGTTGTGGTTCGCCGTCGTGGGGAAGATGAGGTCTGAGAGGGCGGGTGCTGCGGCGGCGGGGTGTGTGTTTTGCGCCATGTTTCCCGGTTGAAGCTTTGGAGGGGTAGGGCGCTCCAGGATAGAACAGGGGTGTGTTTGGATTGAAGCTATCTCATCCAAGATGAAATTGAGTGAGGTTGGAAGGGGTTGTACAAGATTGGCACTGTCTAGGGCTCGAAATGAGGCACGTCTCGGTCGTGAAATTTCCAATGTGGACGACCCTATTTTGCACTGTGCTTGCGCTTGAGTATGGCGCGAAAACAGTGTCACTCGATACTGTATGGATGCGAGGCGACTCATTCATCGCATTTCATTTGGATAACACCGATTATAAGATTGTGAGGTCATGTTTCAAGGCACTCATTCTGCAGGTTTAGCAGATGAAAGTTTGATGAGTTGATGCCAAGGGTTGAATGAGATTCAATGGGATCAGAGACATCGGAGATATTGTTAAGAGACATTGAATGAGGCTTCATTCTCATGTCCGTGCTGAATTCCAGGTGCATTCAGCCGCAAGCTAGGGATCGCTGGCATGCCTCACTCAGATGTCGTCCCAAGATGATCAAAGTTCTGTGCTGCTGCTGCCGCCACCACCGCCGCCGGCGGGCTCTCTCGGGCCGGACTTGAGAGTCGGTAACGCCGACGAGTTGAAGACGGAGAAGATGATGGAAACACCGGAATGTCGAGGATATCTCCCCGCCTTTTTTTTTTTGTTCGTCGTAAAGATGCGCCGGCAGATGTCATATTGGCAACACGCAAGCAAGCGTGGCTATGTAGGGTACAGCCAAGATGGGCGACGTAACTGTCGCTCGCTTCCTCGCTCGCTTGCTTGCTGCGCGGGTGAGATGCTTTCTCTGCACCCTAGCAATAGCTTGTGCCCGTACTGCGGCCGTGGGTGGATGGGGACCCGTCTTTACATAGCGTCGGGCGGCGAAGACTTACGCCATTATATCCACCCTACGGATACATCAGTGACTTTATTTTCCTGGCGCAAGGGCATCTGGTGCGCTCTTCCCGCTGTGCTGCTCTGGTGATCAGACCAACGGCTCTCTTGATGTGGGAGAGTAACGGACAGAGAGATTCGTCTAGCTGGAGACGGACTCGGGGTTCCCGTCTGTCAAGATCAAGGTCTTCGTTGTGGAATAGACTACATTTCCATGGGCTCTCAAGGTTCCGAGGCTCTTGAGGCCCTCTCTTCTCTCGTCTCATACGAGAGACAACAGTTGCCCTGTGACCAAACAATGCAAGGCCGATTGAACCTTGAGAGTCGCAATCCCGGCGTACGGAGCAGACGGTAGGGAGGGAAGCGCTGGGCGGCTCAGCCGTTGTGCGCGTGGACCATCCGGAATGCGGCGGCAGCGGGCTCGTGTTAGCTTCCTCATCTTGCTAGGTTCTCCGAAAATTGAAGACGGCTGATGTGTCAGTCAGTGTCAATTGTCAGTGTCGCGCGCAAATTCTGTGGCGGCTCCGCTGCGATGACAGTACCCAGTCCGTTCGCAAAAAGACGATATTCTCCAGGAGCTCTAACGGGCGGTCGTCTTGTCTCGTCTCGTCTGCCGTGGGTTGCCGTCCAAGGAATAGAGGTCCATTATCGTCTGCAGGTTGTCATCATTGATGATCGCCGTCCGGCCATTTCTCCCCCTGCTGCCGCGCATCACCCCAGACAACCGTGACAACCAGGACGTTTTAGCATGCAGCAAAAAAGCAGCAGCAAAGCAACCGCGAAGCAACGACCAATCCAACGCCAGACAACGTCAGACGAAAATCAGGGCTCGCTGGCTTCGGTAGGAGAAACAACGGCGCGTCAGCCATTGGCTTGCGCCGGTCGACGGTTGAGAAATACGAAAAGGCACCATACCATTGAAATGGTGCGTGGCTTCCTCCCCTCGGTAGGCTCTCTGTACCTTGAACGTCGTCCCTTTGGCTAGCATGCGGCGACACCAAGTACATGGACACATGGTGAACCATAGGGCCACAGGGCAAAGGGGACAGAAAAGGTAAAAAAAGAGACGGGTTCGAACTATTCGCTCGGGGAGGCGTGGCGTGCAGGGATCTATTGCTCAGCTGGTCGCACTTGAGGGACGATAATTCGCTGCCTGGGCCGCAGTGGCGCAGTGTAAACCCAGCGGTTGAGTGGCTTGGTTCAACCCAAGTTTCCGCAGTCTGCCTCATCCCAACCCGTGTGCCTGTGTGGAATCCATCCGTTCATGGAGTGTCCTTGGATCATGGGCCGTGAGTTCGCATTGGTGTCCGTCCCATTGCGCGTAGAGGTTCCGCAGCATCGGGGCTGCAAAATGACCGTAGGAGGGATCCTGGTTGAAGCCTCAAGGTTGGTATCAAGACGAGAAGATGATCACGGAGTACACTGCAGTGCAATGTGGAATGATTACATACCTCAAGGTACCTTGCCTTAACTCACAGCAAACTTCGAATTGCTAAGGTAAGGCAAGGCAGGGAAGGCAAAGACCAAAGATGACGGGAGCTTCAGGCGCGGCTTGGACCCACCCCTCTGCCAGGCGTCCACTCCACCGCCCACTGCTACAGTAAGGTAAGAGGGAACGAGTCGTTGCCCACTGAATCCACGTCTCGTCACTGCCGCAATTCGAGGCCAGCTAGGGCTGTTTCGTTTTAAAGACAAGAAAAGGCAGACGCGTCCCCCAAAAGCCACTTTGCTCCTTCTGTTTCTGATTTCCCGTCTATTACCTCCCATCTTCCTCACACTCACCTCACCTCACTCACATACCTCCAAGCTTTCTCTCACGGATAGTTTCCAGTGTTTTTGACAATCAGCGAACAGCATCTCACCTCGCCCTCGACACTCGTTCCCACAACCCGAACAACCCAAGCCAGCGAGCTACCTATCTTACTTCATTACAGCGGGTTCCCTTATCGATTGGCCCCCCAAAACCCCCCGTCCACTGGTTCCGATCCCTGGGTTGTCTCGCCAAACCCCGTTGCCGAGCCGGATTGAGTTTGATCTTTATTTAGAAGGGGAAAAAAGGCCAGGGGAGCAACAGTCGCATAGCTGACAACCTCCTCTCATCCAACATCCCCCTTTCGATCACAAACGTAGGGAAACCCTACTAGATCACCAACAAACCCGACATATTCGACGACTCGACGACAAACATGCTCGGAAACCTCGACTTTGACCCGGAATACGTCCCCGGCGTCAAGCTCGGTCTGCACATCTTCCAGTTCATTCTGTCCTTCGCCATTTGGGCATTGGAAATTGCAGTGTTTAGAGCCGATAACGCAAAAATCGTCGGCAACAATGGCTGGACTTTTGGAGTGGTAAGGCAACCTGACAGGAAAATGAGTCCTGTATTTTGGCAAGGTATGCAAATCGCTGACAGTCGCATCGCAGTGCTTCCTTTCGCTACCAGCGTGGATCTACCTGATTATGGCGCCGCGGTGGCCGAGAACGAGAAAACTGGCCAACCCCTACGCTATGGCCATCGTAGATGCATGCTTCTGCATCATCTGGCTTTCTGCCTTCGCAAGTCAGGCCGCCTACAACACGGCCAACCAGTGCGGTGACGGCTGCAAGCTCAGCAAGGCCATTGTCGGCTTGGGTGTTTTCGTGTGGTAAGTCATCAGAGAATGTGGATCGCAGCTATTCAGGCAATGATGCTAACAGCACTTTGGCAGCCTTCTCTTCGGAGGCAGCACCTTTGTCAGTCTGTACACTCTGAAGTACTACCAGTTCCACGGCAAGCTCCCCGGCTACGACAAGGAGAAGCTCGGCGGAGACAACATCGACCCCGACAAGGCCGCCTTCTCCATGGCACCCCACGACGAGGAGGCATACGCCCCCGTCCAGATGGATGACCACAACGACGACAACACAACGCTCTACGGCGGCAACGCCACCGGCAACCACGGATACGCCAACAACAGCTACAACAGTCGCTACGGCGCCGGCAGCTCGGCCTACGGCGAGGATGACGACCCGAACCGCTACGGATCCCTCCCCTCGCGCCAGAACGGTGCCATGTTCGACAGCGAGACCGAGTACCACTCTCAAACTCATCCCCAGAGGCCCACCTCCACCAGCCCCGCGGCGGCGGTACAACCGTACTCCGCCCCTGAGCCGTATGGCGCAGCGCCTGCTTACGACGACGACCGGCCGGCGCAGTTCCCTTCTGCGCCCTACGATCGCACGATGCATTAAGATGAATATCCTATTCTTTCAATGGGATAGTATTCCAGTGTGAAGGATTTGTGACGGCAGGGCCACAGCCCGAGCAAAACCTAGGCCGGTTTTGGGTTGACGAAGGCGGACGGACTGTGCTGTCCAGTGTTCACATAGATGGGCTTGGATTTTTATTTTCCGGATTACGGGGTGTTGTTGGCGTCCCATTTGTAACAAAGGTAATCGCAAAGATACCAGGCATGAAGCTCTCTCTAGGTAGACATCAAATTTGATGACATGACGATTAAAAGTCAATGATGAAAAATGATCAGCTTGCTTTCGTAGTGAACATGTGGAATATTGTGTTTTATGCCAAAAAGATTTGATCTGAAAACGCCATAACTCCTCAAAGGGGGAACACAACAGTATTTCCTCTATGGCCAGGCTCTTACCACCGACCAACATGTAATATGAACGACTCCTTTTGGAACTTTTTCTTTCCTTCCATGCCCTCCCTCTCTGTAAATGCTTTCTTCCCCTCCCCTCTACTTCCTTCCTTCCATTTTCCCCCCTTCTCATCTACACTGCGTCTCCTCTCCCGAAAAGATTTACGCCTTGCCAGTAAACCTCTTCACCCGGCGCGCGATATCGCCCTTCGTCTGCTGCATGGGGTTCAACTTGCGATCCCGCACCATGGCATCGTAATCGTCGCCGTGCTTGGCAATCAACCTCTCGAGCCATTCTTTCTCCTGCTGGCTAATGTGTCGCGGCTTCTTGATCTCGGGGAGGGCGGCTTCCTTTTCGAGGAGGCGGATGACTTCGGGTCTGCTCTCGTCGTCGATGCCACCCCATTCTTCTTCGTTCTCCTCTTCGTCGTCGGATCCTTCTTCGAGGGCGTTCAGGG